AATGCAATATAACATTAATATATTATGTATGCATTCATGCGTGCGTGCGTGCGTGCGTGTGCACGTTCACCTGGGTGCATGCGTGCGTGCGTAGTGCCAGCGTGCGTGTGCAGGTACACGTGCACTCATGCACACTACGCACGCACCGTGCGTGTGTGTGCAGGTACACGTGCGTGCGTGCGTGCACACGCACGCACGCACGCACGTCTACGTGCACATGCATGCACGTACACGTGCGTGCATTCGTGCGTGCGTGCGTGCGTGTGCACGTACACATGCGTGCATCAGCGTGTGCGTGCGTGTGCAAGTACACGTGTGTTATCTATGATCTCTGTGATCTTGAGTTTATTGTAGCGAGTGGTTTAATTAATTATAGCAAGTATCTACGCGCGGTATCGCACAGGCTAATATACGCACGGCTATGGGCGGTAAGAAAGTGCATAATTAAACTACCATATGGCGCGAACGATTTGAGTTACATTTCTAGAAATCTAGATACACATAGACACATGTCTTAGCTATAATCTCAGTGAATTTTGAGTATATTGAAGCGCGATTAGTCTAATTAATTACTACGGACCATTGTACAGCGTATCTATACAGCACTGTACTTGAGCGGCAGCTGTGTGGATCCATTTGGAAACAATATGGCGTCAAATCCTGGGTTGTCGCAACTTTCTGTATATAGGGACCCTACCATAGATGATATAGATGATTGGTTGTTATGATTGTTATCTCTCGATCTAGTGTTGATTAAATTCCTCACACATTCGAGTGTGCGTTGCTCAATGCCGTTCGATATCAGATGAACGATGTCACCCGACCAGGGGTGTATCCAGGATTTTTTCTGGGTGGGTCGTGATCATAATTTTTTGGACCTTTTCAGAATGAAATAACAGCAAGATATGATTAAAATGTCAATACAATTTAATTGAAACCAAAAAAATCTTTTGCAAAAAAAAAATTGTCAGTTTTTTAAAACAAAAATTTGAAGTTTTTTGATCAGTTTTTTTAAACAAGTTTTCTGACTCAGTTGAAAACAGTCTTTTGAACTGTTTATCTTGTCTTTGTCTTGATCTTGTCTTGTCTTTGTCTTTGTCTTTGTTAGAGTCTTTGTCTCTCTTTTTTGAACTCGGTTTTTTAAACAAAAAATTGTATTTAAAAAAAAGGCTCAGTTTCAGAATTGCTGGAATTGTGATAGATTTACGTCACGCAATTGGCAAGGTCTTTGGACTCATTGCTGGTACCTGATCAATTATGCTTTTTCATTTATGTCATTGTGAAAAGGCCCTCGAAAAACAATGTCTTTGGAAAAAATTGGGACCTTCTGAAATTTTGGGGGGGTCGTACGACCCTCACGACCCCCCCCCCCCTGCATACACCTATGCCGACGTACGATACTAAGTGATACAAGATCACTGGTATCCCTAGTCACTGGCCAAAATGATACTGCGGCGCGATGGCTGTGATCGTATAGTAATTTAATGTTCGAGTACCTTGCGATGTCTTAGCTCCCAGGTCCGGCGCTCGCAGATATCACGGAAGCCTTGTACGGAGTACGTAGGACATATGCGTGTCTTGTGCGAGTGCGAGCTGAGCACGATCGTATCATAGCATATGCGAACACATAGAATACGGACTATAGATGATTTATTCTACTCAATGACTCCAAATACAGATTATATGCGGCTGACTACACACTACACAAAACCACGGCTGAACTGTCACCGCCGCGCGGCGACGTGTGTGGGCTCACACTCTTAACTGTTCAGCATAGACTACTCCCTGTCGCGGCGCTCGATGGATATTCCCAAGGGCACGCGTTATATTAGGCGCGTGCTCTGTGCGCTACTAAGGTGTATGTTATAACGGAACTTCTACTCCATTGTAAGTTAATTAAAACATGGTTGTAGGTTGCGACAACGCTAGGATTTGGTCACTATAACATCAAAAGCATATAAAGAAGAGAATTTTCTCGTATTTTTATTAGGTTGCTGTTATATGCACTGTTTGCATGGGTCACTGACAAATCATAATTATGATTGTCCTAGCAAGCACAAATAAACACCCTAATGGTGCATATATTCCAATAGCTTTATTACATCAGTTATTAAAATATCATAAAATTAAATGATTAGATTATTATATTATTAAATGCAGGCTTAGGGAAAGAAAAGGAAAAGGAAAAGGAAAAGGAAAAGGGAAAGTGGTGCTATCTATAGGTATCGTGGCCTTACTTTCCTCGGCTGTGCAGAAGCCCGAAGCTCCGTCTCGGAAGCAGCGATACCCAATACTGACGTCTTCAGCATGCTTCATAGAAAAATTCAAAAATTCATATCATTTCTGACAAACAATCTACACCTTTCCAACTCTTTGTTATTTGAACAAAGGTCTGATTAATTGTCATTTATCGACTGCGGTGTGTAACAATCACACGTGCGTATCACAATTACATCAATTACCATGGGTTGATCTATTAATCAATTGATTAATCAAGTAATCACCATCAACGAGTGTTTGATTATCATGATCATGATTGATCATATTTGTGTATTCTCGATAGTTATCTTATTAGATATAGATATCAAACATTGTGTCCGTTTTTACAATCGCTGGGATGGATTAAGACTGTATATTTCGCAATGGTTTTATTTTCGCGAATTTCGCGAACGCGTCCCCGACGCGAAAATAACAGCACGCGAATAATTCATACCGAATAATACCGAATAATTAATAATTCACCGACCATAAAATTGTTAAACCATTAATGCATCTACCGCCCTGTGCTGAGATTTTCGCGTTTTTACCGCTTATAGTCACCTATTACACAAAATGTTTTTGGCAGGTTTAACTAGCTATAAAATTATTTATAATTAGTTGCTAGTACAATATAGATATAAACTTACTCTCAGACATTGAAACAACACCGGAATCTATCACCCGTGATCTATCAAATCAAACACAACTTTCAGACAAAAACAACTTCACAAAACACGGCGGTCAAACGCCCTTTGGCGAGGTGAACTAAAAACATTACCTCAGTCCCAAAAACTCCCAAAATAACGTTCCAAACAACAGTAAAGTATTGTTTAAATTATGTCATCTACTACTGGGGTTTATACAATGACGCTGTTGAATTGCTAAGCGTATAGCCCCTGCCATCTATAGGAGAACATAGAAAACGTTCCAATTTTTATTTTTATTTTTATTTTTTTTGACACGAGTATACTCGTGTTTCGCGGCCGTGCGTTTTGCAGGTTCGAACGAGTATACTCGTGTTTCGCGTTGAACGTGTTAATAATTCTAAAACCATTAATAATTCGCAAAGTCTGAATTCGCGAAAAATATGGCGTATACAGCATTTAAAACATTCTCGACGTTGCTCATGTTGTAGAAGCGTAGCAGCGAAGAAAAGAGTGGCAGTCCTGCGAAACGCTCGAGGAAGCTGGCTAGCAGATATCCCGTGGTCGCTCTGCTAGACGTGACGGAGAGCGACGAGGAAACCTTCTACTACACTCCGCCGCAGAGCCGACCGCAGCTGCAGCACACAGACCTACCTGTCACCAGATCACAGGTGATCACAGGTGATCTATGTGCTCTGCTGTCACGTTCAGTAATGTATCTGATGTTTATGTTTTCTACCACCAGGTGTCAGTAGTAGTACCACAGACTAACGGACAATCGGAAAACCCATTCGACTCTTCCCGTCATGCCTAGAAAACAGTGCGCAAATGCCTAGAAAACAGTGCGCAAACAATGCGCTATTCTCTGAATGGTCCGAGGGTACCCGATTGGCCGGTAGAGTAGATCATTTGCATATTTTGTCACGTGGTTTGTGTTAACCAATCAGATGTAATCGCGTATTCGTGACGTCATTTCCAGCTGTGTCGCTAATCGATCTGTAAGCGATCTCACGTGCAGAAGTGTGAAGCATGGTGAGGTAGTGGAGATCGAAGGAGGAGGAGAGAAGCTGGTGGATAAGGAAGAAGGGGAGAAGGGAGAAGGTAGTGCATGGAGAAGGAGGAGGGGAGAAGCTGGTGGAGAAAGAGAAGGGGGAGAAGGGAGAAGGTGGTGGAGGAGGGGAAGAAGCTGGTGGAGAAGGAGGAGGGGAGAAGCTGGTGGAGAAGGAGGAGGGGGAAAAGGGAGAAGGTGGTGGAGGAGGGGAAGAAGCTGGTGGAGAAGGAGGAGGGGAGAAGCTGGTGGAGAAGGATGAGGGGGAGAAGGGAGAAGGTGGTGGAGGAGGGGAAGAAGCTGGTGGAGAAGGAGGAGGGGAGAAGCTGGTGGAGAAGGATGAGGGGGAGAAGGGAGAAGGTGGTGGAGGAGGGGAAGCAGCTGGTGGAGAAGGAGGAGGGGAGAAGCTGGTGGAGAAGGATGAGGGGGAGAAGGGAGAAGGTGGTGGAGGAGGGGAAGCAGCTGGTGGAGAAGGAGGAGGGGAGAAGCTGGTGGAGAAGGAGGAGGGGGAGAAGGGAGAAGGTGGTGGAGGAGGGGGAGAAGCTGGTGGAGAAGGAGGAGGGGAGAAGCTGGTGGAGAAGGAGGAGGGGGAG